TAGTCAACTAGAGGCTCACTAGGGACATGTTGGTGTCTATTATTCACACATGTATTACGATAACACAATTATAGCATGAATAAAGACAATTATCATGAACAAGGAAATATAATAATAATGCTTTTATTATTGCCTCTAGGGCATATTTCCAACACTCTTGCCCTTGGACGATGCAAAACTCTTGCTCTTTGACGATGCAGAACCCGGAAGCGGCGGCATGAAGATATCATCTTCGTCCTCGCTCTTCTCAGTCCATAAAAATGGATGCTTTTCTGCAGTCCTTCTGAAAGTTTCACTCTCCGGCTCCACTACCTTCTTCCACCTTGCATGCAACCTAAGAAGTTCTATACGTACCTCCTCATAGGTCCTTTCAGGCCACCCAGACATACGTAATTCGTGAGCCAACTCATTCATTATGGTGTCACTACCGGTGAGTTCGTCCCATGGAACTATCCTATTATCCATCCTGAAATCGGTAGCTAGCCTCAGAAGAGTCCTGCTCATCTCAGGGTGAAAACTACGGTCAAAAGGATAATGGGACATCTCAACTACACTACACTGGAATGCTTATCCTCCTCTGTCTGAAGGGGGTTTTATAGGTAGGGATGAGAAAATGGCGGGAAAGAACGACTGCGGTATTGGCGGGAAACGATTGGCGGGAAACGGGTGGCGGGAAAGAGCTGGCGCGAACATATGGCGGGAAACGGGTGGCGGGAAAGAGTTGGCGCGAACATATGGTGGGAAAGAGTTGGCGCGAACATATGGCGGGAAAGAGTTGGCGCGAACATATGGCGGAAAAATATTACGGGCAAAGGATTGCACGAAATACGTCATAGTTTATAAAAAAAATCCAGGAAGAGTTCGGGGAAAAAAATGATAGTATGCACCGGTCGGTCCACAGTAGGCCAATTAGTCCCTGTCGGCCCGCAGCTGGCCAATTAGTCGCTGTCGGCCCACAGCAGGCCAATTAGGCTCTATCGGCCCACTACTGGCCGACTAGACCTGAACTGGTGGCCGACAGGGCCGACTAGGTCCACTCGGCCGGTTGCAGGCCGACGGTGTATTATTTTCGAAAATTATTTTTTGAGCGTAATATTTGTGCAAATTACTAAAAAAATGTATTATTAAAAAAAAATAGCTCAAATTTAGACATCCATAGATTCTTTCCTGTTGCTAGGTGCAGGCCAGCCTTTTCATCACGTAATGCTGAAAACCCATGGCCATTTTTTTCCATTCTTTCTTTCTGATGATGATATGACCTCTGCGGCCTAGTTTGGCAGTATTCACAAACCTTGGTATTGCAGTGCGTGGGCAACAGATACTACAGTTTCTAAAAACTGCATTTTTCTCAGTTTTCCGTAAACTAGGCTGGTGCTGTTTTATCGTAGTTTTGACTGATCCTCTCCATGGTTTCATGAGGTTTTGACCGTAGAAAGTCGTGGGAGCAATCAATCATGCTACACACGCACATGGAATTGTGTTTGGGCCTTTTCGGTTCAAAGGATTTTAACGGAGATTGACAGAGATTGTGGAGGATTAAATCCCCTACAAGCCAAATTCCCCTCCAATCCTCTCCAAACCCCTTGGGAGGAGGTTGAACCGAACAAGGCCTTGACAGGCTCAATCAATTGAGCAGGGTAGTGCATACCTTTTTCGTGAGCTTCATTTGTCCATGGTAACAGAGAAGATGGATGAATTCCACATGAGGACGGGTGGAAGACGGACTCACGAGAAAAAAATTGCAGGGGAGAGCAAATAACACTCGCGTTTTTCTGTTTACGAAAAAGAGGTCCCAGCCTATTTTTCCAATATAGCAAAAAAAACCATGGTTTCAAGAAAACTATAGTTTCTAAAACTGCTGTACCTATTCATGCCAAACACATCAAAGTATTTAAAACAGTGGCTTTATTGAGAACCATGGTATTTCTTGTAAAACTGCAAAAATACTTTGTTGCCAAACGCAGCCTACATGTTTACAACTTGTACTCTCTCTGAGGTCCTTTTTACTCTGTGTAGTATTAGATTTGCGTAAAGTCAAAGTTTGCAAAGTTTGACCAAATCTGTATTAAAAGAGTATCAACATCTGCAATACCAAATATGTTAGGATCCAGCTAGTTGATTCACTCAATTACCATGATCTAGCTGTTTGGAAGAGGAGCTCTACGGGGAGAGGAAGAAGGAACCACACGCCTCGCCAAGCCTACGCCGAAGCCCACCCGGCCAAGCCACCTCTACACGATGCCCTCTCCACCTATTTGTACTTGTTGTCCCTTGTCCTTCCAAGCATGCCTGGCCCAAGCGTGATGGCCCGTCGTCTGTACATTAGGCAGAGTCGCTGACGAAATATATATACTATGAAACTACAATTAATAATGAACCAAACAATATTGATTTGGCATTCTGAATGTCGATACTTTTCTCCATTGGTTTCTGGTTTGGATTTGGTAGAGAAGCAAGGGCGACTCAGCAAGCAAGAATCACCCATCAAGGCGCGATTTGGAGTTATTCATACGGTTTCTAGCTGGTCAGAGGTACATGACATTATTCTGGGAAATGATTCCAGCTAATTGTTGCTGGGTGTCCTTATCACTCTTTTTTCCTCTGCCAACAAGGCTGACACCAAATCATGCACATGACACATGAAATCTCTGTTGTGGCCATTTTATTTTCAAAATGGAGGCAAAATATTTGTCTCATTGGTTAATTAAGAAGAAGATACTAGTCCAGTTAATTTACAGTAAATCAGGTAAAACCGATACAAACTGACTGTAAGAGGATTACTCACAAAACATGAAACCCCACGACCTCACAAGCAACCTACCAAACGCTCCAGACACAACAGCTCTAACCCCCAACACTTGTATAACACAACGGAACCCCGGTCAAGTACACCTCAACAAAAGGCAATAGGCAACACCAAAACCACGGTAATGACCAAAACCATGAGGACGAGACATGAACCCGAAGATCATCCATCAAGCATGAGTGGCTTCTCCTTTTGGATGCTGGTCGGAGGGCAATTGCCCACCTTATTGTTTCGCCCCCTGATTGTCGTTCCCAGCAGGAGGCAAGCAACCACCCTTCCCAATCCAGGGCTAGGAACCTCCAAGTTGTTTAGCACATCGCAAAGTTCTTTTGCGAAGAGAGAATCAACATTATTTGCTGATGGGGTGGAGTTTGAGCGAAAGGCACAAAGGCCCAGGCGTGTTCGCCTGCACCTGCTCCCATGACAATGGCGAATCCTAAACCACACATTAGGTCGCCGGCAAGTGCACATTTGTATGCCCCACTGTAGGATGAAAATAGAGCGGAAACGGGCGAAATTGGGTGCATAAACCCCCAAAATAAAAAGGAAATAAATATTATCGAAAATGAAAACAAAGCGAATACCGAACGGTCATGAAGACAAAAGCGAGTGTACACCGTGACTAAAATACCCCATGAAGCATAGAAAAAACACAAGAAAACCAACAATTTTTTAAACTTTGGCAACATAAAAACTTGAAGGCATCAAGCAACCAAAAGCACTTGCATGGTAGTGCAACTCAAACCACAATAGTGCTTCAGTGACACACTCACGTTTAGGGGCGTAGATAGGCCCCAGGCCACCCTGGCCTTTGGCCCGGGGCGTGAGCCTAAAACCTAGGCTTGTTTATTCCTACAGTCGTGTACTATAGTATACTATAGCCACAGTGCCCTGAAGTTGGCCCGGGGCGTGTCGATATTCTAGCTGCGCTACTGCTGACGGTAGTAGTAGTAGGGTCAAACATGGGCAATTCTTCTCATTGTGTGTTCGTTGGGCTATAAAATAGCCATATGCGAATATTCATATCTGAGCTCAGGCTCATCCGCGCCCGGTGAAGAGAAAATTCACAAAAAATACTAAAAAGATATCAGATTTTTTTATGGAAGATAATTTGGTGCGTGAGGTTCGTGTCAAATTTCAGATCATTTGGACATATGAGCAACTCTCAGCAAAAAAAGACAAATTGGATCAGAACAATACATGAACAGTGAACTTTTTCACATACCCCAATTTTTTCTTTTCCGTCGAGAGCTACTCAGATGTCCAAATGATCTGAAATTTGAAGCGCAGCTCACACACCAAATATCTTCCATGCAAAAAAAATTCAGAATAATTTGATTTTTCTAGTATTTGTTTTGTACTCCCTCCGTAAACTAATATAAGAGCGTTTAGAATACTAAAATATTGATCTAAATGCTCTTATATTAGTTTACAGAGGGAGTATTTTCTATTCATCGCGGGTGCAGCTGAGCCTGGGCACCGAATCGGCTTGTCCAGCCATATGCCCATATTTTAAGTGGAAAGTTCTGTTTCCATGCTTGTTCGCTGGAAAACGCCGTTTCATTTCCACGTAAAAAAATCCTCTTCCATTTCTGTTCTTTTTCATTTTCCCTCTCCGTTTCTGTTACCCACCAGAAAAGCTGAAAGTTTCATCGCCATTTTCATTCCTACTCCAGTAGTAGAGGCAAACCAAGGCTACACTAGCTTCTGAAGCTCAGGCATGATCTACAACATGGGAGCCAAAACCGCAACGATAGCCCCGCCCTCAGCCGTGGACACTAAAAGCCACATTGATTACCCCGTGTCTTGAAATGATTTTGTTTGTATGATCATTGTGTCATGGATTACACTTGAGTTGCCTTTCCATTTGGGATCACTTCTTATAATTGCGAGAGTGGTTCCTGTACTGTACTGGTATTGCTACAGAACAGAGTGGTATACTCTATACTGTCCCCAGGTGTTTCCATTTGGGATCATTTCTTATATCCAGTGACTGATCATAGTTAAGATGATTGGAGGCAGAATTTCCAAGATGTAAAATAAAATCACGCAGAGGATGATAAACAAAAAATAACATAGTTGCTTTATTATTTTTATTGATTACTCAGTCGAATTAAGAGGACGGATACTCTGCTAGACATGGCAGAGGATGATAAATAAAAATCACGCAGAGAATTTTTATTGCGCACGGATGCTACTGGCTAGTTCGCTAGCACAGTGAGATAGAGAAAACAGTAGGGTAATGGTGGATTATGGCTTTGCGGCGGCGTCCATGGCGAGGATGGTGGAGAGGTTGAGCGGGTGCATGTAGTCCGGGGAGCCGGCCATGAACTGGCTGACGATGATGCGGTTAGCCCTCTCGGTGGGGTGGAAGTTGTCCCAGAAGGCGAAGAGGGAGCGGTCGGGGCAGACGCTGGACATGGCGGTGCACAGCCCCACGCCGTTGTACGGGCCCTGGCCGCAGCACGCCACCTTGGACGTGACGAAGCCGTACGCCGCCGGGGCGGAGATGAAGTCCATGTGCATCCGGTAGGCGTTGACGGCGACGAACACGTCGGCGCCGAACTGCGCGTTGAGGTCCTTGGTCATCTGCACCAGCTGCGGGTTGTAGAGCGCGGCGGCGCGCTGCAGCTCCAGGTCGCACTCGCCGTTGGCGCTCCGCGTGGCGAGCTCCGCCGGCGCGCAGCCGATCGGGCCCGAGCCGGTGACGAGGACGCGGCGGGCGCCCAGGCCGTGGAGCTGCTGGAGGATGGTCTTGTACTCGGCGATGAGGTAGCGGACGTAGTCCGGGAGCGCGAACTGGCGGGACCTGGCGGAGAAGGGCAGCAGGTAGTAGTTGTTGACGAAGTCGTTGCCGCCGAGCGTGATGAGCACCAGCGCGCTCCGCACCAGCCGCTGCGTCGCAGGCTCGCCGATCAGCCGCCGCACCCTGCTCTGGTACTGCTCGAAGTAGCGCAGCTGCTTCTGGATACGGATGATGTTCACCTGCAACGCGTTCGTTCGTTGCTTGTGTTTGCAATTTGAGGCAGGTGCTACAAGAGGAGAGGTACGAAGTAGCTGACTGAGCTTACAAACTGGATGCCGGTGTCGTTGAGGATGCCGACGCCGGCGGACGCGAAGTTGGCGCCGCCGAGCAGCTTGTGGCCGTCGAGGTGGGGGCTGAGGTAGGGCAGCACGGGCTCGGCCCCGAGGTGCTCGCTGATGATGTCAGGGACGTTGAGGCCGTTGGAGAAGCGGCCGGTGGCGCGGTGGGTCGGGTAGTCGAGGCCGTAGGGCGGCGAGTCGGCCCGCGCCGTGGTGGCCAGGTAGTTGTTGTTGCCGCTGTCCACCAGGGAGTCGCCGAACACGAAGAAGGGGCGAGGAGCGCTCGCCGTTGCTGCTGCTGCCGCCGCCGCCGCTACCATGGCTGCTGCCATCACGAGGAGGAGGCCAAGCGCACCCATGTCCTTGTGTAGCTTGGCTTGGTCGCTGCTAGCTAGTAGCTGCTCGATCGACTGCGCCTTGCACTGCATGGTATGTCCATGGGTAGCTGTATTTATAGCCTGTGCAGTGCACAGCATGCGTCGCTGCCGATGGAATGCGTTGGCCATCTTGAGTAGTTTTCATGGCAACTTTTTGAGGACCCTCGAGAGGGATGCTCTATCTTTCGGTTTACCATAGTACAATCCACGAGAAGGCTATACTCATATCTGAGATGGGATCGTGCAGCATGCAGGGTTGCTTCTGATTCTGATGTGAGCTAACGAAAACTTATGCTGACAGTGACCTTAAGATTCCATTGAGGCGACAATGACCTTTGTTCGGAACTCGCTGGTATCACTCTCAGCACAGTATCACTCTCAGGACCTATGCCGACGGCCCTAGGCCGTAGGCATAGTCCGCGAGTCCGGTAGTGAATGGGATGCTGCACCATGCAGTAGGCCTTCTGATTATGATGTTAGCTAATGAAAACCGTATGTTGACAATGACCTCAAAACTCCATTGAGGCGACAATGACCTTTGTTCGGAGCTCGCTCCTGTCATTCTCAGCACAGTATCTAGTGCCAGGGGAAACTGAAGTGAATGACACTTCTATGCATGATGCGCGCGACTTGTGATTGATACACGCCCGAGATCACCACGCATGCATGATGATAACTACTCCAAGATGGAGGCCGCATCATATCTCGTATTACTGTCCTCTTGAAACTGGCACACGACACCAATTATTACCATTTGCTCCATTTCCACCGACACCAGTAACCTGACAGTAAAAGAGTAAGGAAAGGCAGATGTACGTACATGCCATACGTGTTGCTACCTATACACTTTTGTGCATGTTGAATTGTGGTCGAAAGGCTAGGTGTAATTGCAGGCCTATCTCAATACAGGAGAAGCTGTCCTTGCGTAACAAACCGGCACCGCGTTTTTCAGGCCATTTAATCGGATTCCACGGTTCCCCTTCTTCCTCGCTTCATGTCTGCCCACCTGCCCAGCCCGGCATACCATAGATAGATAGGAGCCCCGACTCAAACAAATCGGTGAATAACTGCATGCACACATGCCGCCGCCCGAACGCCGACTCGAACAAATCGGTGAATCATCCATGGAAGAGCTGCTTTCCATCCGGTTATTGTTAAGTGCTGTCGTGTTACTGTATTTCAGTGCAGAAAGCAAATCAGAATATGCATCGACACATTGACAGTATAGG